AGACAACTTCTCTTCACCGTGGAGAAAAGATAATGCTACGGGTTTGCTGCACTGTCCTCTTTAGTGGCAGCAACTCAGCAAAAACGTCCACGGGCCCTGGCAGTAATTAAGCAACTCTGGCTCCGCCCCCTCCCCCCCTTCCTCGACACCCTCTTGTTTTATTGGAAAGCCCGAGGGTGCAGAAAGGTTCCCCTCTTTGAATGACAGAAGGAGCGCAATGTGGACTTTCAGCCTGCTCCTCTTTTGGGGTGAGTGTGTAGGACGCGGAGGCCTTTCAGGGGAAGCCCAGCCACCGGCTGGCACAGGGGGCTCTGCAGAGTGACTTGCACCAGGGAGGCTGACCTGCTCAGAGGCAAGGGGGCCAGGCTGTCCCCCTGCCTCTGTCAGCCATTGCTCCTAGGCCAGTGCAAGGGCTGGGGGAAGGCTGGGGGAACCTGGTAGAGTGGATGGAGGGTGTTGCCAAGAGCGGCTACAGGCCCACCCTTCCTGACCTGGCGAAGGGTAAAGAACTCATGAGCTGATGTAGGCAGCTCCCCAGGAAGAACCTGCATTTTCTTTGTCACATACCTACTCCTGCCTTCATCACTTGCTGCAGAAATCCTTGTCACTTAGGGAAATATAGGGACCGGCTCGGCGACAGGGTGGGTCCTAGCCAGATCTCAGAAGCATGTAAGGGCTTCTCTGTTCTCTCTTTACAGGTTGGCAGCCCTGGTCAACACAGGCGACTTTGGGTAAGAGACTCCCCCAACTGAAGGCAGTTAGACCTTGGGCAAGTGCCTCCGTCTCTCAGTTTTGTCATCTGATTAATGGGCATTGTGACGACACCCACCTAATGAGATCGTTGTGAGGATTCAACTCCATGAGGGGTTGTTTATGGGGGGGGGGCTCTGGAGTCACACCCCCTGGGTTTTAGTCTTGGTTCCAGTGCTCATTGCCCTGGGGACCTCGGGTGTTTTAGTAAATTCCAGAACTTCAGTGTCCATGATGATGAAGGTAAGAGGAGCTAATCCCACGTGGTTTTGATGAGGATGATAAAGGTGAAACAGCCCGGCCGGGCGTGGCTCAGCGGCTGAGCATCGACCTGGGATCCAGGAGATCGCGGTTCGATTCCCAGTCGAGGCACATGCCGGGGTTGCAGGCTCGACCCCCAGTCGGGGGCGTCCAGGAGGCAGCCGATCAGTGACAACTCTCTCATCATTGATGTTTCTATTGCTGTCTCTCCCTCTCCCTCCCTCTCTCTCTGAAATCAATAAAAGATATTAAAAAAAAAAAGGTAAAATACAAGCAGTGCTGCAAATGGAATACAGTAAGTGCTCAATTAAGTCAGCCCCTCTCCACCTCCTCCTGCCTCTCCTCCTTCCTCCCCTCTTCTAGCTCCGTTTCCCTGTCTATTCCTCCCCCATCCCCTCCTCCTCCTCTCCCTTGTCTTCCATCCCCTCCTCAGAGAAATAGAAACGATCTGGTTCTTATTGGCTGGGTTGCAGACGAGCCAAGCTGGTAGCCAACAAGGGGGCACAGCCAGGATAACGACCATGTCCCCTGGACTCCTTGCCAGCATTGGTTCTTTCCGCTTTGCCTGGTCTGGCATTCCGACCCGCGGGGTGCCTGGGGCAGGCCGCACCAGTGCTCTTGGGCATCATTTTCACATCTGCATAGTGCAGCCACAGCATGTACCAGAAGGAGGTTGACTGACAATCCTGACTTGGCCCAGACTGGGGGTGGGAGCCTGGGAAGCTGGCCTTTGAGTGTGAACACCAGGAAAGTCCTGGGAAAACCAAGACTTGGTCACCTTATTTTGAAGTGTTATTGTGGGGACTGTAGAAGATGCATGGATGGGACCTATGAAATGAAAGTTCTAGTTATACTTTAAAAACTCTCTTTGCCTCTCTGAGCCTTTTTTTTTTTTTTTGCTTAGGTCAATTAAGTGACCATCTGTTAAGTTGTTTTGCTCATGACTGAGCATCATGTATGTATCTCACATGGACTATTTGAAATGGCCTTTGGCTTGGTCTCCTGGCTCCCTGCTCTCCTAGCAGCTGCCAGACAGCACCTGAGTTGGTCTTGTCCCTCCTCTGCCCAGAGCCCTCCAGGGCTCCCACCTACCTCAGGGTAGAAGCCAAAGTCCCTCCCCACAGTCCACAAGACCCTGCATGACCTGCCCCATCCCCTCCATGACCCCACCTCCTCCCTCTCTCCTCTTCCCTCACTCTGCTCCAGCCATATGGGCCTCCTTGCTGTTCCTCCAACACACCAGGCATGGCCCTGCCTCAGGACCTTTGCATATCCTATGCCTTTTGCCTGGAATGCTCTAGCCCTGCACAGACACATGGCTCCCTCCATCACCTTCTTTATGTTTCAGCTCATGTGTCATCTTCTCAGTGACTACTCTATTTTGATATTGTATCCCTCACCCTCACATCCTCAGATTATCAGCTCTCTGATGGTCAATAATTTTGTGTGTCTTGTGTGTCTGCTCAATCTACCATGCCTACAAGAGTCCTGGCATATAGTAGGTGTTTGTATCAGTCAGGGTTCTCCAGAGAAACAGGACCAAGAGGATGGGCATCTATATATCTCTCTCTGTATGTATTCATATATGTAAAGATACATTATAAGGACTTGGCTCACTTGATTACAGAGGTTGACAAGTCCCAAGATCTGCGGGGTGAGGTGCAAAGGTCCTGAGACAGGAAAGGACTTGGGGAAGTGAGCAAAGATTACCATGGCTGATGGGACAGGGCAGGAGATGAGCTGGAGGGGTTGACAGGTTTGCAGGCACAGGGGACTGGGTTGTTCTGGTTGGGGGCGGACTTGAGCTGTGATGGACAGAGCTAGAGGAAGAAAGCACTGGGTAGCTCAGGGTGGGGAGACCGCAAATGGTGATGTGCCGGAAGTCTGCAAAGAGAAAACTTGTCTCTGCAGATGAAAGGGGAAGCTGGAAATGAGAAGAAAGATACAATCTGAGTTCAGGAAAGGGAAACAAAACATTTGTAGGAGGCAAAAAGCCCTGCTCTCAAGATCCTAATCATGATCATTCATCCATTATGTTTTTACGGCACTTTTTCTAAAGAGCTTTCCCATGATATCCCATCCCACCAGTTGATGTTGGCAATATCACTGACCCTTCTCTTTCTTCCACACCCCCATCTGGTCCATTGGCAAATCCTGTTGGTGTTATTTTCAGAATAGATCCAGAATCTCATGCTTTCTGGGGCTCCCACCTGGATAGTATCCACTGTCATCGCTCACCTGGACAAGTGCAGATGCCTCCTGGCTTGTCATCCTGCCCCTGGCCCTCTACAGTTCATCTCTCCCACCAGCAGCCAGAAGATCATGTAAAACCTAAGTCATGCTGTGCACATCCTCTGCTGTAAACTCTCCATGGCTCCCTTCTCTCCCTGATAAAAAGCTGAAGCCTTATGGTGGTCTAGCAAATTCTACATGATCTGGCCATGTCACCTCCTCTGACTCTTCCCTCATCCACTCTGCTCCAACCACACCAGCCTCCTTGGAATTCCATGAATCACCAGGCATTGTCCTGCCACAGGGCCTTTGCCTTTGCTGTTTCCTCTCCCTTAAACAGCTTCATAGCTCACTCTCTGGCTTCCTTCAGGTCTTTGCTTACAAGTGACCTTCTTAGTAAGGTCTTTATGATTGAACAACGACTGTGTACCAGGCACTGTTCTATGCACTCAGGAAACTGCAGTAAATAAGACAAACAAATTGCTGTTTTCTCGGAGCTCACAGTCCATCAGAGTAACAGACTTGAAACAATCAATTCTACAAGTTTTTCTACAGAATTGTCTTAGAAAGTGCATGAAAATTTATTCCATTTCCATCAGACAGATCTACCTCTTGTGTAGCTGTAGTGAAGATCATGCACTTTGGGGTTTGACAGGCCTGCTGCTGCCACTTACCAGCTGTGTGTCCTTGGACAAGTCACTTAACCTCCACATCCATACAATGGGAATTGTATCAGTTTCCGATTGCTGCTGTAACAAACTTGGTGGCTTAAAGCAACCAAGCATTATCTTACAGTTCTGGAGATCAGAAGTTCAAAATGGGCCTCACTGGGCTGAAATGAAGGTGTCAGCAGGGCTGCATTCCTTTCTGGAGGTCCTAGGGGAGAATCTGTTTTCTTACCTTTTCCAGCTGCTAGAGGTCAACTGTATTCCTGGGCTCGTGTCCTGTTCCTCCATCTTCACAGCCAGCAATGGCTGGTCAAGCTTTTCTCTCATTGCATCACTTTGACTCTGCCTCTGCTCTCTTCATCTTTCACTTATAAAGACACTGTGATTACACTGTCGCCTCCTCGATAATCCATCTTAAGGTCAGTTGATCAACAATCTTAATTCTACATGCAACCTCACTTCCCCCTTCTTATGTAGCATAATATATTCACCTAGTCCAGGGGTTAGGACGTGGTCATTTTGGGGGGAGCCATTATTCTGCTGACCATAGGAATGATAATATCAAATGAGCATCTTTCTTAGCACCTGGAGCCTGCTCCTACCTGTGGCTTTGTCCTCCTGGATCTCAGTGTGGTGGAAGAGTTGATCACTGAAGAGCTAATCACACAAATAATTGAGCAATTAAAGTTGTGATGAGTGTCACAAAGAAGGAGCACAGGTAGCTATGGGGGCATCATGGAAAGCTTCTTGGAGGCAGTGACATTTAAGCAAGACCTGAAGAGCGAGTAGGAGCTGGCCAGGCAAAGCAGAGGCAAAGGGAATAGCACATGCAAAGGCCCTGTGGTGGGAAGGCTAGAAGTGGAGACTGAAGTGAGATGAGGCTTAAAGATATGGTTGGGTCTGGTCACTGGGGGCTTTTTGGGTTATGTTAAGTAATTTGGATTTTAATTCTGAATGCAACAGGCAGGGTTAGGGAGGGGTGGGGTGGATGATTAAATCTGCATTCAGAGATGATTGCAGGGGACAGTGGGGGATGTAGAACTGACTGTACAGTCCAGAGGAAGATCTGTGCCAAGCATAGTCGTGGAGATGGAGAGAAGTAAGTGGATGTAGAATGATGTTTGGGAGGGAGAATCAATGGGGAAAGGACTCATTGGATGTGAAGGTGAGGGCTAAACAGGGAAACTGAGGTACAGAGAAGTGAAATCACATGTCCCAGGATTGGCTAGGATGTATCTCAGGCTTCTCCTCAAACCTGCTGAATCAGCATCTGATATTCTAAGCTCTCCTGGGGATCGCAGGTGAAGCAGAGGCTACCACACACCACACTTGGAGTAGCAAGGGCCCCAGGTCAGTGTTTCTCATACTTTCATGGGCCCAAAAATCACCTGAGGCTCTTGTTACAGTGTAGACTCTGATTCAGCAGATCTGGGGCAGAACCTGAGATTTTGCTTCCCTCAAGCTTCCTACTGGTGCTGCTGGCCCATGGGCCACACTTTGAGAAGGAAGGGTCTAGGGTCTTCAGTGTCATTAATCAGCACCCTTGGTCACTGTATCAGGTTTCCAGGGCTGCTGTAACAGAACAGAGATTTATTCTCTCACAGCTCTGGAGGTCAGAAATCCAAAATCCGGCTACTTCCTCTGAAGGCTCCAGCGGGAGAATCTGTTCCCGCCCGTCCCTCAGCTTCTGGTGGTGCCAGCATTCCTTGGCTTACGGACGCACCACTCCAACCTCTGCCTCCGCTGCACATGGCGTTCTCCCTATGCCTCTGTATCTTCCTCTGCCTCTTATAAGGGCGCCAAGCATGTCAGATTAAGGGACCATCCCACTCCAGCATGACCTCAACTTAACTTACATCTTAATGACGTCTACAAAGACCCGATTTCCAAACAAGGTTACATTCTCAGGGACCGGGGCTTAGGGCTTCAACGTATCTTTACAGGGGACACAGTTTAACCCACAACAGCCGCCTCCACGCTCTCCCACTGGCTTTCCCCGCAGCCCCACTCTGGTGTTCTAACCCGAGCTCTTTCTTCTGTGCTGCCTAGATGTGAATGAGTGTTGGGACACCACCACGTGCCCAGCCTATGCCACCTGTACCAATACTGTAGGAAGTTACTACTGCACTTGTAAAAGAGGCTTCCTGTCCAGCAACGGACTGAAGCACTTCAGAGGCCCAGGAGTGGAATGCAAAGGTGAGTTCACACCCCTTCAAAATCCTCCAACATTCAGTAGAAAATTAAGTGAGGGCTGGTAGATGTAGGTACTTTGTTTTTCCCCCCAAACATTATTC